ATAAAAACGCTAAGATGGATTCGATTTCCTAGCAAGGTTGCCAACTGACAATAACAAAGCCAACATAAATTGTGTCTAAACGATATGAGAAGTGCCACCAGGATACAACGAGAGACTACCAAACGAACACAAACAAGGTAGGTACAAATACATTATTTAATTATTTACAATTCAACAAAACAATTATTAATCTTTATTTTAAGTTTCAGATTTTGATGTCTGTATACAGTGCGTCCCCCAAAATTATTTACACAGTAGTAAAAAATGTATACAGCTACTTACTTTAAATAAATGTTTTTGATCATTATTTGAGCTTTATTAACCAAAATGGAAATTAACACGTTACAAATTGTTTACATAACATTTACATATTAGTTATTTATTTTGTTACATAATTATGATAAAACATAGTAATATAACATTAATATAAATATGTTCCCCTCTTGTTATATTTACATCCCCCTTATGTATCAGCCATATAACAATGTTATATATCTACAATGGAACAATGATACATCATTGATATATGGCAATGTTTTATAGTATCCATATAACCTTATTATATGGTATTTACATAGTTTTCCTTTATTTTGTTACATAATTATAATAAAAAAATTTAATATAATATATATATATAACTATAGTTATATCAAAATGATCCCTTCTTGTTATATTTACATCCCTATTATGTCATGGCTATATAACAATGTTTTATACCTACATTGTAACAATGATATATAAATGTTATATATTAATGTTTTATAGTATTTATATAGCCTTTTTATCTTACTAACGAACTCGTTTAAACGGTTGTGTCGAGTGCTCTCTATTGTGTTTTAAGTTAAGTTAAGTTTGATTCAATTTTTTTATAATAAAATGGAAGACAAAAATAGAAAAAAATATATTTCCCTATCCCGGAGGCAAAAGCGGAGGAGAATTAATGCAGATCTCAAAATAATGGGTGTGGAGGTAAGAAATTGTATAGAAAATACCCAAGACAATGTGGAATATACTGAGGCTAAAACCGAAGTATTATCTTTCCCTAACCAGCCAATAAATAAACATATAATAAAAATATTTTTACAGAAAATTTGGGAGAATATTCAGGAGGTCATAGGAAAAATTCCCATACTTTTGTGGAAGATTTGCAAGATTTGTGTAATAGATACGTAGTACTTACCTAGTCAACTTTTTATTAATACTCTGTTAAAAGTTTTGAGAACATTATTGCAAAAAGAAGTAGAGGCTGAATTTGTAAGTATATAAAGGGCGATTTTAAACCTGTTTAATAATGTTAATTTGTTTTTAAAACACGGTGCTAAAAAACAAGCGACAAATTATAATTTAATGATATTTGGTAGCCAAAATAAGAGTTTAATTTCTATATTTTTTTTAACTTTATACTGTTTTTTCAACTGGTACTTAAAAGATACAATAATTTAGCTAAATAACCAAGATGGATACACTTTTTTATTATAATTGCTGTGACAATTAATTTTATGCAAATTCCATATTTTTCATTATTTTTATATCTCTTAAGGTTGCAGGGTGCATTTGACTTGAATAAATAAAATCAAACAAATTATTATTTGTACCAAATATCATTTACATAACTACATAAAGAAAACAAATCAATAAACAAAAATAATATTAAATTGTATTTTTTTCAGTTTCAGTATATAACAAAAATTGGAGGCGTCTCAGAGAAAGATGCCACAGTAAGAGTTTTAAAGAAAATCTTCTCAAATAATTTGGCAAAAGATTGCTCTTGGCTGGGGCTAAGAAACAACAATAAAATTCAAAATTTAAAATCTGTTGAAATATTGAAGGGTAAAAATGTAAATTTTATGGGATTTTTTATTAAATAAATTTTGTGCTGTGTGCACTTCGACAGACAAAAATTTTGAAGGCATAGTTTCTGAATGGTTCCGGCAGGCCAAACAAAGATTTGGTATACCCTATAGGGAAGCAAAAAACCCATGAAAAGAAGGTATATTAATATTAAACTCATGGGATTGCTTTATCTTTTTTACCATATATTTTTTAGCTTTGAAGTATTACTGTATTTGGGATTTTTTTTTGTTTGGAAAAACTTTTCGTTTGTTTTAAGAAGTTAGAAAGAAGAAATGATTTATTTTTTTTTAATTAAAATAATTTTTAATAAACATTTAAACCAATTTGTTTTTTTTAATCTCTTTCAGAATTATTTATTTTTGTAATGTTTACTTATTATTTATGTAATATTTATTTATAATTTATTTAATATATTACCTGGCATTAACAATTTCTTAGTTCTAATTTGGTATTATGGCAATTTTAAAATTTTGTTGATTTTTATTCAAAAAATTTGCCATAATACCAAGTTAGGGCTAAGTTATTTTTAATACCAGTAAGATAATATATTACATGAAATTATATTTATAAATATTTCATAAATAATATGTAAATATTGCAAATAGAATATAATTGTTTTATCAAGTTTACATAACTATGATATGGCGCTGTAACATTACAGTTACATAACTATGATAAAACACTGTTACATCACAGTTACATACCCAGGAAGGCGTCTTGAGGCGGACATAGGAGCATTGCCATTACATATAGGTGACATAGCTGTTGCATAGTAAGGAACAATTTTTATGTAAATGTTATATCACTGTGACATGATTTGGTTTGCTGGGTATATGATAACAATTTTTTTAATTGAAAAAACTATAATTTTTTTAATGTGACGGTCAGAGCAAAATGTCCCGAGGCTCATGGAATGCCCTTTTTAGTTTTTTTTAACGAAGTGTATATGTACAGAGGCGCCTCTGTAGATAAAGTTACGGTTATGTACAGAGGCGACCCTGTAAAAAATATCAATATACAGAGACGCGTTGACTTGTATTAAGTATACTATAGTGTTATATGGTTTAAATTCAATTTATTTTCAAACATTAGGTACCATATATTTGAAATGCTAGCGTCTAGAGGCACCGAATTATCTTGGCTCCCTGGCTCCTAGACATGCGCGTTTTATAGAAATGTACTCAAACTCAACAACACAACCCAACCGACCCCGCCCCATTGGGCCCCCCCCCCGCCCCATTGAGCAAAAAACCCAACTAAAATGGGCTAATTTATGTAATTAAAAAGTGTTTTATTTTTAACGTAACATAAATTTGCCCATTTTAGTTGGGTTTTTTGCTCAATGGGGCGGGGGGGCCCAATGGGGTGGGGTCGGTTGGGTTGTGTTGTTGAGTTTGAGTACATTTCTATAAAACGCGCATCTCTAGGAGCCAGGGAGCCAAGATAATTCGGTGCCTCTAGACGCTAGTTAATCTGCCTCTGTACATAACCGTAACTTTATCTACAGAGGCGCCTCTGTACGTATACACTTCGTTTTTTTAATTAAAACATAAATTTTGTTATCATTTTAAGAAACTTGTCAGATAATGTGTCTGCTTTTGTGCTCAGAACGGTGTATTTTGCAGAATTTCACTCAGTTATGTCATACGCCTTACTATATATAGTATATACGCCTTACTGGTCTGGGGTCATGCACCTTCAGCTAAGTCTATTTTTGGGATGCAAAGAAAAGCGAGAATGTAGATAGCTGGAATAGGGTACCGTGAAAACTGTAAACCGTTTTTTATTTCTTTAAATGTAATGACGTTTCCATGTATTTATATTTACTTAAGTGTTTTATATGTTAAAAACAATATTCAAGATTACACACACAACAGCGAAATTCATGAACACTCTACAAGAACTTCAACAAACCGCTATAAATTTTTTCGGTGTTAAATTTTTTAATGTTCTACAATGTGAAATAAGGAACATGGACTTGAACTCATCTTATGTGATGATTTTAATCAAATTATGTAATGTTTTTTATTTATTTATTTATATTTAGTGTATTTCATAAATATTTTTTATTCGTTGTATTTTATATATTTTTCTGACGTGTTTATATACTATGTATTTTAACACTAATAAATCTAAATCTAAAATCTAAATCTTTAAAACGCTTACATTTATAGAAAAAACAAAAGAAAACTTTTTTGTTGATCACTTAATTTTTAACAAAAATATCTACTACTCGTTTCAAAAAGTTTGAAAAAAACTTTTCACTTAGACCTAAGATATCTTTTTAATGGATAGGTTTACAAAAAAACATAGGACACTTTTTGTAGAGCATTTAATTCCCTATTAAAATTTGTATTGGGGTTAGCTTTATATTCATATAGTGGGATACAAAATGTTTTTCATCGGATTAATGTTTATATACAAAAGTTTATATACAAAAGTTTATATACAAAAGTCCTCTTTTAGTTCCACTCTTACTTCTTAAGAAGTCCCATAAGCCAACTGAATGGCTTGTGTGGGTTAGGGGTAGGAACGGACCGCGGGCTTAACGTCCCCTCCGAAGGACTAATACACAATAGGACAAACACAAATAAACAGCCATACCCCTGGTGGGATTCGAACCCACGACCTCCGGCTTGTAGTCAGCATGCACTAGACCACTAGACCACCGTCGGCGATGTGAAAATGGAAAATTGCAATGAGGAGGACCTTAATAGTATAAAGTTCGAAGCCTATGCATAGGCTTCTTTTGAGGTTTAATTTAAATTTCTAAATTAAAGGTAAATGTCTAAAACCAGACCAAATTTTAAAATTTGCCTGTATATAAAAACTATGTATACGTATATTATTTTATTAAATTATAAAAAGTTGGTAAATGCAAAAAAATAATACCCTAAACAATTTTTTTGTTTGCCCAAAATAGAGTTTGGACGTGACACCCAGAAATTTTTTTGCCAGCAGCTTTTCCCGTATAAGGACCCCTATCAGATTTTTGATACGGGCCCCCCTCGAGGCTAGCTACGCCACTGCTTAGGACACCTTCACATTAAATTTCACTAAAATTCGTTCAGCCGTAAAATATTTTAAAAAATAGCGGATATTATAATTATTAATAACTGATAAATTTGAATTTTTCGGGGTAAAAAAATACTTGTAAACCATATTAAGTAAACACCCTAATTTCTTAAAATGTCGTAACATCCCAGAACTAAAAGACGTAACAGTTTAAGAAAAATTTGTATTCTCATAAACTTGAAATTCGTTTAAAACATTCGGATAAAAATAATATAAATTTGCGACCCCCCGAGAGCAGGGCTAGGCGTCGGGGGGCCTCTCCAGTTTTCCGAATACGGGTCGTACTGCTCGGCTGCCTGCCTCTCCAGATCCAAGTACACGTTTTCGTTAGAGGGGTTGTACTGCTCCAGGGCTTCCAGCTCCAGAACCTCGGACATGCTTACCTGGATGGGCAGGAAGTCCTCGTGCCGTTCCTCCAGAACCACGTCCACCGTTTTGGATACCACCTGAAAAAATGTTATAAAAATGGTCTCAACCGCCATATACTTTCTTAAATTTACAAAATAAAAAAACCGTTTATGTACCTCTTCAAAGTCATTCATTTTTTCAAACTTTGCATTAGTTAACACCTTTCCTGGATTTTGAGGGACAGAAAACTTTTTGCTCGCCCTTTTATCGTCCACATCCAACCCAGGAGGCTTCATCTTAATCCTAGTTTGTAGTAAATTGACCTGCAAATTAAATTTTGTTTTTGAGAAATCATCTTATATCTCAGTTTTCATAAAGATGTCTTTTTTAGCTTGTCATCATAGGGGATAAGGAACGAGACTTAAGTCCTTTTCAAATTTGTCTAAGATTTTAGCTTATTATCATTATTTTAACCTGTTAAGCTTAAAAAATAAAAATACCAACCTGTGGATTAGTCATTTTTCTACTTTTAATCTTTAATCTGCTCCCCTGGGCGGCCTCCCCGTAACACTGTTGAACCCAATGAGAGGGAGGAACGGAGGAACTGACAAAATGTTGCGGATATAAAGTCCTCTGTGATGATATGGTATTCCTAGTATAAGAACTTAAATTTTGTCCAGTTCTTAAAGACAGCGACATAGGGTGACTATAGAAATTTTGCTGGTGCGTTTGTTGGAAGTACCCCCCTTGTGGGGTCAAAGGGGGGTATAGGGTCGATCTGTTTTGTTGCAACATCAGCATTGATGTGGGGTATGTGGGGTACGAGTTGGGAATGTAATTTCTCGAATACGTTTGCATGGTAGAACGATTTGTGACTACTTGCGATACATTACAGTAGGTGTTGTTCGAGTAAATACAATTGTTTGTCTGGTGGTAGCTACTGTTAGTAAAGTGGGATGAAAATTGGTAGTTGCTATAATTATTCACGTAACCACTGTTGTTAACCGGCGTAATATTTGCGGTAGAAGGTTTTCCAAAGTTAATATTGCTTACAAAATTGGAATAAGTATTCAAAAAGCCAGGAGGAACTTCATCTGGCACTTTAACACTATCACAGACTTTTGGAGGGCTGTTAACTGTAATAGGTTGTTGGTTATTGAATATTTTACCATCATCAGTGGAATTTGACTGTGTAAAACCCACACCCCCCAGCAAATCACTGTCAGAAGATTGATGTAAATCTTCTGCAGGTTTTTGCAAGTTTGATACGGCATTAACAATGGTATTCTTCAGTTTGGCTATCGGTAAGCATAAAAGTGTTTCTGCTTTTTCTTCTTGATTTGTAAATAGTGACATATGTTCGTTTTTTCCACAAGGTAAGCCTTGTAGAACCGCTGAGTATAGCCTTTTTCCTGGTTCATCATTTTTAAAGGTTTTCTGAAGTTTAGGTTTGGTTTTTATGTCTTTATTTTGTAAGTTTTTGTTTTGGTCTTTTAACGACTGCGCTAAGCCCTAAAATCATTTTATTTTATTGTTATTTTTTGTGTGTACCTACCTATATTTTATACTTTTATATTTTCAAGATCCGAATTTTGTTCTGGTATCATATAGGACAACCAATTGTACAATCGTTCGTATTTTTCCTTTATATCTGAGCCTCCAGTTGTATAAAAGGTACCCAATGGAGATCGATATATGGTTATGGATTTTTCGTTGTAATCTCTTACCACCATATCCATATCCCAAATGTTCTTTATCCTATCTAAATAAATCAAAATCTAAATTAATTCACGCCCACGCACGCTAGCCATGGAGCGATGGCATACAGCGATACGTTTGTCGAAAAACAGGTTTTAAATCTATGACGAAAGTTACTTCTTTTAAAAATCGAACTGTAGGTGTATGCAACCTACGGGCAACACATTTTATATAATACGGTGGACCTCGTCTGCAATGTACTTAAATGCAAAAGGAAACCGCGCTTGCGCGAGAGAGACTTTGCTTTAGGGACAATCGCTTTTCTGTTGCGCATGTGTATTTGTTAAACAATTTTTGTTATATGCCGCAAATGCTAGGAAGTGCACGTGTAAATATTCAAAAAAATTAACGAACATCCGGTTTTACCTGTTTTTCGTCCGGTTACACTGTTTAAAATATCTGTGGTGTAAAAAGTAATCTTAAAATGGTGTCAAAATTCAACACCAAGTGGTGTTAATATAACACCATAAATTATGGTTGAAAATGTGTACCGATCGCGGCAAAGGCGGTGTGGATCACGTGATGTTCTTAAATCTCGCCTCTGTTGACTTACATGAAGAATATATAAACTCAGGTGATCCTTTGCTTTGGTGTGACACTACAAGTTGTTCGATACTAAAGAGACCTTAAATAGGTGGAAACAGCTGTCAATACTTGAAGTATTTTAAGTTAGTGGAACGCACTAAAAACATTATCTCTAGCGAGTTGAAGGTTCCATTTTCTGGAATAATACCAATGGTAATATACTTGTAATGCGTCAAGGAACTTCCTGTTTCCTTTTTTTCCTTTTTTTCTGTGTAGTATGATTTAATTTGACCACAAACACATAATATTTAACACTGAACAGGAGTTCAATATACACCAGGTAAAATTTATTTTAATACTGTGTGAAAGTTAAATTAACACCATTTTAGTATTTGAATTAACACCGGGCCAACGGACCACATTTAACACCATTTTGGTTTGTATCGATATAGACCATGTATGGTGTTAATTTGCTGTTAAAATGGTCATAAAATTTTGAACAGTGTAGTGCACCATCGCCAATCATCCGCAAACGTCAGTTTTTGTCTGGTTTCATCCGCACTTTCCAGCAATTTGTGTGTCTATTTTCGTCTGCTTTTATCCGCGCTTGCCTGCTTTTTGTTCGTCGGCTCTGCTACATCCGCGAACGTTCGGTTTTACCTGTTTTCGTCCGGTTAGTGCACCATCGTCAATTATCCGCAAGCCTCCGGTTTTATCCGCAAATGTCTTGTCTGATTAAATCCTCGCTTGCCTGCAATTTATTTGTCTATTTTCTTCTGCTTTTATCTGCGCTTGCCAGCTTTTTATTTGTCTGGTTTCATCCGCGCTTGCCTGCTTTTCGTTCGTCTGTTTTCGTTATCGGAAATTGCCTGCTACATCCCACGGTGTGGTTAAAAAAGTTAGATGTAAAGTTCAAGAACCCCAAAGTTATAAACGGGGAATGATTCTACATGGTTTTAATAAATAATTAATGAAAAAATTCAAATATTTTCCTGAGCGCATTATTTTTTTCGCCTTATTAAATATAAGAACATTATTTAAAAGGTTAGATACACTAACTACGTCAAAAAGAGCAATTTTTACGTTTTTTTTTCAAAGACTGGTTTATTTATTTTGAAACAAATATTTTGACAGTTATTTTGACTTATTTCAAAAAGTTACGTAATCACAGGCGCCTGTTTCCTCTTGATTTTAGTGTGTCTTGAGACTCAGAACTATTAACATCAAAAGCGAGCTATTTATTAAAATTTAATAAAATCTAAAAAATGAAACCAATAAATTTAAGTCATAAGCAACCACTATCACACAGTGAGTGTCCTTTAAAAGTATGTCTATTATGTAAAACGAAGAACAAAGTTCTTTTCGAAATAACGGATACCTTAGAAAAATTGATACTTTTGATATAATATATATATTAGGGTGTCCCTTATTTTTTATTTTTTTACGCATACCCTCTAATTATATTTATTACGTGTTTATATACTCCCAGTAAAAATTTCAGCTCATTCTATAAACGGGAACCCGTGCCGACTTGCATCTGAACCCTCCGTTAGCCAACGCGTTGCAACGTTAGGCGCGCGGTATTTTGTAACACGGTTGGCCGCTAGGTCTTCGATCGTAAATCATTTTGTGTTTGTTATTATGTGACCCTTATATTATAAATTATTTAAAAATGTTATTATAGTAGTTTTATTTATGTGTATACTTTGATAAAAATGTATATTTTCAAAGGGAGTGGCTAGTTACCCGGAATTGTTAAAATATAGTTTTATTTATGTGTATACTTTGATAAAAATGTATATTTTCAAAGGAAGTGGCTAGTTACCCGGAAGGGTCTAGTGAATAGGCCGTAAACTCTGAAATTGATAAACTTAATGGGATTTACTCTAAATAACTAAAAGTAATTGTGAGAGATGACTACCGAAAACTGTCTGAAATATTTTTGGGAGGACATCAAGAAAAGAAATGCTTATAAAAAGCTGAAATTTCATATAACAGTATATTTTAGCAATACTAATTAGTAATTAGTATATTTAAGGGATAAAATCAACTAATTTTTTTTTTGGTTATTTTTTAATTGTCATTCAGATATAATAAAAAAAAGAGTTTCGGGTAATTAGTTTTACGGCCTTCCGGGTAACTAGCCACTTTCTGTAAAAATATTCATTTTTATTAAAGTATACACATAAATAAAACTATATTTTAACATTTTTTAATAATTTATAATATAAGGGTCACATAATAACAAACACAAAATGACTTACGATCGAAGACCTAGCGGCCAACCGTGTTACAAAATACCGCGCGCCTAACGTTGGCTAACGGAGGGTTCAGATGCAAGTCGGCACGGGTTCCCGTTTATAGAATGAGCTGAAATTTTTACTGGGAGTATATAAACAAGTAATAAATATAATTAGAGGGTATGCGTAAAAAAAATAAAAATAAGGGACACCCTAATATATATATTATGTTATATTTAATTCATTTTAGACCTTTTTTTGTAATAAAAGATTTTTTTTATAAAAAAAGAAAACACATTTTATTTTATAAAAAGAAACAATTTTGTGTTTAAAGTATATCTAAGTTATTACATTATACATTATAACTAATTAAAGGTGTCTACTGTTGTATTCACATACAGCTTTAAGTAATTTTTCTGCATATTGAGGATGCGATTTTTTTACTTCGTATTTATTCCATATTTTATTAAAGTCTGACTGAGATGATTCCACCGCTTGTTCTGAATAAAACCCTAACCCTTTGTCGTTTTGTTTATAAAAATCTTCTATGTGGAAAAATACTGTGTGAACCTTTGGTGTTACGTTTATGTCTAAACTCATATAACTTTCTCTAAATATCGCAATCTTCTCAAGATATCCTTCTTTTAATTTGATTGAGAAACAAGAATCGACAACTTTCTTGAATGATTCGAAACATTTTACATATTTCATACAAGGAAGTTACTTGTTGACGAGCAAATTTCACGTATACGTGAAATTCTATAGAATGTCAACATTGTTCAATAATATTTTACTCGAATTTCCAACAAAACTTACATTTCCGTAAAGTATTTCTCGACTTACATTACACTTTTTGGCCCACAGGTTACAAATATTTTCAAACTTCTTATGCATATTATCAAATAATGTATTTACAACTCCAATTAACAAATGTAACTCGGGCGGTGGATCGATGATTTTTTTTCTTTATTTGATGAAATTATAGGTAAATTTAAACAATTTTTAAAGTTTTTACAATTCTGTTTCTCTCCTCCACTTTTTTTCCAATCTTCAAAATTTTGAATACAATTCCCTATAGTTCTTACCCAAAACGTTCAAGTTATTTTTGTGTGCGGTACATCAAACGCAAGGATACATGCTGCTGACCAATCAATATATTTAATAATTTCAAATCTGCTGAAATTTGTCCATCAAAATCTTTTAGGTGTAATAATCACCATAAAATATTTAAATTGTTATGATTTTCTTCAGAAAATTGAGTTAAGCCGATCAAAAATAATTTATTTACTTCAGAATCCTTGAACTTTTTCGCAGCTACTCCTTCAATGTACCTTTGCCGTTTATAATCATTTAAATACATCGATTCACAATCTAACGATTGAATGGATACAGTTATTTTTAAAAAACTTTATATTTGCTTGATTTACTTCACGACATTCTTTTACTTCGTCAATCAATTTTTTGAGTTTGAGAAAGATGAACTGACATTGCTTTGCCGCGACTTCTTGACAATAAAATTGGGTCTTTGTTTTCACTTGCTTCATTATTTAAAGATTTTTCAGAACTTGATCGAGTATTACACATCATTACGTACTTTGAATAATCTGGCATTACAATAGTATAAGCATTACAAGATTTTTCTTTTATATATAGCTTTCTTTTACAATTTGCACACAGTGCCTTTGGTAACCGTTCATCATTACTATTGTATGTAATATATTTATTTATTACTTTTTCTAAAGAATCGGTTATTTCGAAAAGAACTTTCGTCTTCGTTTTATAAAATAAACATAACTTTAAACGACACTCACTGGTGAAAGCACTTGCTTAAATTTATTGGTTTCATTATTTAAATTTTATTAAACTTTAATAAATAACTAACTTTTGACGTCTCAAAACACACTTAAGTCGAGAGAAAACAGGCGCCTGTGATTATTGACTTTTTGAAATAGGTCAAAACAGCTGTCAAAATATTTATTTCAAAATGAATAAACAGTCTTTGAAACAAAAAACGTAAAAATTGCTCTTTTTTGGCGTAGTGAGTGTATCTAACCCCTTAAATAATGTTCTTATATTTAAGGCGAAAAAAAATGCGCTCAGGGAAATATTTTAATTTTTTCATTAATTATTTATTTATTATTAAATGATGTAGAATCATTCCCTGTTTATAACTTTGGGGTTCTCGAACTTTAAATCTAACTTTTTTAAACCACACCGTGATCCACGAACGTCCGGTAATACCTGTTTCTCGAGTAGATATAAGTATAGTGCAGCACCGTCAACTATCCGCGTTTTATTCCTGCATTCATCTGGTTTTATCCGCAAACATCTGCTTTCGTCGTTTTATTATAACTATGCAACAAAATAGATCTACCAACTAAGGGTTGAGTAGACTCTAGTCTCTGGTGAAACCAGTGCATAGATATACCGCTACTTATAAAGCCATTTAGCTTTAAAAACAGCGGTGATTTACGCACCAGAGGTTGGGCAGACTCTGGTCACCAGAGAAACTGTTTCACACCTATGCCTTTGCTTATAAATCTTTAAACAGCGTTGAAATGTATATCTGATTTTGCCTGCATTCATTGTTTTCGTCTGGTTTAACCGCGCTTTCGTGCTTTCATGCGCTTTTATTGGCTTTCACCCGCTTAAGTCTTTCGGCAAACCGCAATTTTTTTTCGATTCAACCTAATTTGCCTAATTATTCTTGTGTTTTTAAACAAAACTTATTCTTGATAAAAAGTTTTGATCTTTAAGAATTCTCTCTTAAATGGATGTTAATGTTTTTTTTCGTCTATCAAAACTTTTTATTAGGAATGATTTTTCTTTGAAAAATCAAAAATATTGTTTTCCCTCTTGTAAACTCAATCCAAGGTATATCGAACGAAGAACTTAAAAAGCAAACCAGATAAAAACAGACTTGGGCGGATAAAAGCCTTTAAAAACGGATAAAAGCTCGTATTTGCGGGCCTAAAATCAAATACAGGCATTTACGAAAAAAAAGATGAACACATAAAACAAAATGCAGGTATTTGCGGATAAAACCGGATGAATGCAGACATAAACGAGATGCAGGCAATCGCAGGTGAGATCAGATGAAAGTATTATAACGGCATCAAGGCATAGTAAGTATTGCCGGGGGTAGGATAAGTAAATCACCAATGGTGACTCAGCCAGAGACCACAAAGGTCGATGAAAGCCCCTAACCTCTACCTACCCAAGACCGCCAGTACGTGTCATAAGACACACCCTGCAAGAGGTGATGCTGCTCAATTGAAAAGACTGCGGATCTAGGGGACTCAACCCCGAACAAAAATGCCCAAATCCCCTAGTGTTACGCGACCTATGCTAGGGGAGGGAAGGGACAACGGGACCTCTTGGGGCGTGGGCACCCCCTTGCAGTAAGGAGCCTCGCCAAAGCTAAGGTGTAAGGCAACATGCGGTCTTTGACGTTCCCCTTGGGATAACAGGCGACCTCCAATTGTATTTAGCCTTACCCACACAATCCGGCACTGTGTGGGCGGACCTTTAGTTCCGGACTACTCGTTGGATTTATATGGATAAACCTATAAAACCTAAGGGCTCTTCGCAAGGAGAGACCGCTAAGCCAGGCTCTCAAGTGGGGACTGGCGTGTCTGGCTCCTCAAAAGAGGGAACCTCACAAGGCCCCACAAAGGGGACAGGCAATACCGCTTCCGGGACTCGTAAGAATAACAGAAGCGGCGCAGCTAAGGCTAAAGCCTGGAGGCTC